GAAGCTGATACAGGAAGTAGAGAAAACGTTGGAGAAATGGCATGAGTGTATAGGCGATGCAAGGACAAAGAAAAAGACAGCGAAAGAAACATCGAGAAATGACAGGGAGAGATCAGAGTACTGGCGAACGGAAGCAGTGAGAACACAGTCAGCAGCTGCACGGGAGATGGCAGTTTATTACGCAGATGCCGCGACTGCCTGGTTCTCCGTAATAGAAAAGTGGGAAGCAGTGATGGCGAAGTGTCGTGAAGCACTTTTGGAGGCCAATAAAGATGTTGAAAAGGGGGAGAGTCCGCAAACCCGCTTAAGTAACATTGCAATTAGGGCCAACGATGTGAAGGAAGTCTGGATTGCGGCACTGGCCGCCACAAGTGAGGCAAAGGAAAAGTCAAGTAAGGCAGTGAAGGAGGAGAAAATGATCTCAGGTGATGTGATTGCAGATTTGCACATTGACAAGAAAAAGCAAAGATCAATAAATCAGGTCTCAATATTGCCTCAACATTGAAAAATGATAAATAACTAGTAGGTAATGAAAAACGTAAAAACCAAGAACAAAATGAAAATAAAAGAGCCTTTGCATGTATTGGGAGGTTGAACAGAGGCGTAAAAGCCATTTACATTGAACTTTATAATGATGTTGAAGTGACTTGCAAATGCTTTTAAGAATTAAATTTGTTTTCTTTGTAGGTATGTATGGATTTCATTTTCCCACTATATGGTCCCACTAATTAATATTTTTCCTTCTTTTTTATATAGCATAGGAAAGGCGAACCCTTTCGTGAACCCCTTCACGCAAAGGAGACGATGCAATGAAACGTCCCGCTGTATTTGCGCTGAAACAACATTTCTCCACCATTTTCGAGCTGCCACCCCCTTTCGAAAATATGTATAATTGTGCGGACATTCTTTACTAGACAGAGTGGCAGATAGCATTATATTACTAAGACAGAGTGGCCTCGCATCCCTCTCCTTTCCAACCCAATACTTTCGAACCATTGTGGACCCCATAATTTGGATATCCTTTGACTTTGAGGAAGTGGTTCACACTAAGTGAGAACCATAAATCCAGAGATTCGTACAGATGATCTTTTCAGAGCATCCATAAAATCATGATCGGATTGGCTCACGGGGATACCAGGAAATTTATATAGGGTCCCCATACCTGATATTCAAATTTTATAAAACTATAAATGCGGCTTATTATAGTCTAAACATGCGCTATGTAGTTACTGTATATCAAAATGGAATGATGTGTCTCTTAATTCATCCCTGAATTTTTCTCACATGTATTCATGGGTGGGAAGGAGAGGGATGCGAGGCCACTCTGTCTTAGTAATATAATGCTATCTGCCACTCTGTCTAGTAAAGAATGTCCGCACAATTATACATATTTTCGAAAGGGGGTGGCAGCTCGAAAATGGTGGAGAAATGTTGTTTCAGCGCAAATACAGCGGGACGTTTCATTGCATCGTCTCCTTTGCGTGAAGGGGTTCACGAAAGGGTTCGCCTTTCCTATGCTATATAAAAAAGAAGGAAAAATATTAATTCGTGGGACCATATAGTGGGAAAATGAAATCCATACATACCTACAAAGAAAACAAATTTAATTCTTAAAAGCATTTGCAAGTCACTTCAACATCATTATAAAGTTCAATGTAAATGGCTTTTACGCCTCTGTTCAACCTCCCAATACATGCAAAGGCTCTTTTATTTTCATTTTGTTCTTGGTTTTTACGTTTTTCATTACCTACTAGTTATTTATCATTTTTCAATGTTGAGGCAATATTGAGACCTGATTTATTGATCTTTGCTTTTTCTTGTCAATGTGCAAATCTGCAATCACATCACCTGAGATCATTTTCTCCTCCTTCACTGCCTTACTTGACTTTTCCTTTGCCTCACTTGTGGCGCCCAGTGCCGCAATCCAGACTTCCTTCACATCGTTGGCCCTAATTGCAATGTTACTTAAGCGGGTTTGCGGACTCTCCCCCTTTTCAACATCTTTATTGGCCTCCAAAAGTGCTTCACGACACTTCGCCATCACTGCTTCCCACTTTTCTATTACGGAGAACCAGGCAGTCGCGGCATCTGCGTAATAAACTGCCATCTCCCGTGCAGCTGCTGACTGTGTTCTCACTGCTTCCGTTCGCCAGTACTCTGATCTCTCCCTGTCATTTCTCGATGTTTCTTTCGCTGTCTTTTTCTTTGTCCTTGCATCGCCTATACACTCATGCCATTTCTCCAACGTTTTCTCTACTTCCTGTATCAGCTTCATCTTGTTAGTGACCTCTAGATCTATGTGGTTAATTGGTGTGGAAGGCTCTGAGGTTGCCGCAAATGTTGCAGCCATGTCCATATTTTCCTCATTGCGTCTTCCTTCTGCCTCTTCCTCTCTCTCTATTTCCTCTCTTTTCTCCTGCTTCACATTTGGTGACATGGACGCACTTCCTGTCTCTTCCAAAGTGAACCCCAAAATCTCCCATTTTTTTATGATTCTGCAGTAGAAGACTTCGCCTGGTTATTTAAATGTGAATCCGTTTCATTCCAATCCAGAGGAAGATGATCAATTCTTTTTTTGGATGGTATGGGAGGGGTCTGCTGATCTTGACCAGACTCGACATCATTGACTTCTGTATTTTGATTTTCTCCATGTGACCCACCTAGCAGAAAGACGATGGCCAACACTCCACCGAAAACAATGAAGAAGCAAACACAGAAAAGCACGATAATTTTCCAAGAGCCGTCTTGAGAGATCCGTTTCTGGTCTGATGACGCTACCGGGCAATATCCCTTTCGGATGCATCTCCACGGTGCAAAGATCGCAGCTTTGAGAAGGCGTATTCCTGCGGGTGGTAAAGTTAATTCTGAATTAGTTCTTAACGTTGAAGTAGAAGATGACCACAGAGCAACTCATTTCATACACAATATTACGTTGTATTTATTTCCATTCACGGTATGCTGTGTAAATTGTAGATGCTAACAAAGAGATTTAAATTTGTAGTTTTTTCACTCATCACGGGGACATGTTTAGAATTGCAAATCCATTTTTCCCTCTCCCCCAACAAAAAAAGAAACGGAATAAACTCTGGGAAAGAAAATGAATTACTTACAGGTAGAAGGAATCATCTGCTTATATTTTGCAGGTATGAATGAAACCCCTTTCATTCACTTCAATTGTATTTGGTCGATTGGAAAGTTCTGGCCGTTTCGAGAATTTTAAAGGAAAAAACGTCTGGAACTTTCTCGAAACTTCGACCGCGACCGCGAACCTGACCGCTGAGGTGTGCACTTCGCTGCTGTCGTACCAGTGTACAAACGACTGACTGGATTCCGTAGTCACTGGAGACGAAAAGTGGATGCTGTACGTCAACTACCGACGCAGGCCCCAGTGGGTCGATGCTGATGCCCAGCCAGAGCCGGAGCCGAATGGTGACCCCGGAAAAGTTATTTTGTGCATTTGGTGGGACGTGCAAGGCGTGATCAACTTCGAGCTGCTCCCACCCGATACCAGCACCACTGCCGCCTACTACTGCGATCGGCTACAGAAGCTCGCCGACAAACTCTGCACGGTGAGGCCAGGCAACCGTCGTTTTCGATTCCTGCACGATAACGCAAGACCGCATGTCGCGAAGATCGCACGACAGAAACTGCTGGATCTGGGCTGGGAGGTCCTGCCTCACCCTCCGTATAGCCCAGATCTGGCGCCAACCGGCTAACACCTCTTCCGCGCTCTGGACAACCATCTTCGCCTGAAAGGGTTCAAGGATGACGCCGAGGTCGAAAACTGGCTGCCTGATATTTTCGACTCACAGCCAGGTCAGTTCTACAGGGATGGAATCAGGAGTCTGATCTGCCTGATCGTTGGCAGAAGGTGATTGACTGTGACGGCGATGATGAATGAACTTTTTGCTTTTTTAAAAAAACTCGGTTGTATGGAATGTTCTCGAAACGGCCAGAACTTTCCGATCGACCCAATAAAATATAGAAGTATAATAATATCTATGATCCAATGAAATATTTCAATTTCTCACCTCCCGCATCTGGCGCATCCATGAGATATAATTGCCCGACTTCTTCTAGGACGTCCATAAAGGTCCTGATCCCATTCGGACCTTTCTGGCGAACAATTGAAAGGATGGCCTCCCTTTCTTGAACTCTCCCCTTCGGATTTTCTACGCTGTCTCTCCACTCTGGCCCGAGTATTCCCTTCGCAATGAGCATGCCTGGAACTCTATCTACGTCCAGTTTATCTAGCAATTGAGGCCAACAATTGAGAAGTCGTTCTTCAAGGGAAGGTGACCTTTCAGATGCCATTGCACATACGCAGTTCCTTCTAGATCAATCCTGAAATGACAATGCCTCTTGCTTGGTGGTCGTGTGGCAAGCTTTCCAAACTAAGGAAGGGTATGCATCGGTTTGTATCTGAGAAGCTTGAGGAGGATATATCAAGCCATACTTGCAAATTTAAACATACCCAAGTGAAAGATATTTGTAAAAATCAATAGAACGGAATACAAGAATTTTTAGACTCTATAGAATCTATGAGCCTCGATGTAGTGACTGCATAGATTCTGAAAATATGTCTACAGGACATATACATTTCCGAGATATTGGCATGCTGTTTATAGATCAATGTAATATTCTAAGCAGTATACAACGTATGACCAAGTTCCATCAACTTTTAACCCATACATATTTGTTATAATTACTACAGCTATAATCTCCAAACTCGCACTGTTCATAGACTATACATGGTGTTACAAAAGTGAGGAATCATAGGAAAATAACATGGGGATCCTTTCCAGATAAGATTGTACAGTATAACAAGAACAAGTTAATCTGAGCTGATCCTTCAACTCCTTAGCTTTCGTAATCTCAAAGTCTGATTCAAGTTGTCCAGTGTGATACTGAGTGACCCATGGCCACTCAATTTGGCCCAATTCGCCCAATTTTCGTGTAATTATCAGAATGTGAAACATTTCTACAAAAATTGAAAAAAAAAACAAATTTGACCCAGAGTAGTACAGAGACACCCATGGTGTGTATTTCGACCAACTGTGGCCCATATCGACCCATGGTGATTTACCCTGAATATCTCATTTTCATAGTAACTGCAATTGACCTGAAGAGATCCAATAGGTGCCCTGTCGTTCCAAGAGAAAAGGTTTTATGTAAATCAATAAGACAGTATAGAGGAACTTGAAGACTCAATAGAATCTATGTCTCTATGTAGTGACTAAATAGAATCAGAAGAGAGACTTATAGGCCAAAAACTAAGATATTAGGTAAATGTTTGCGCATCGACGGCATACATTATGTGGTATACATTGTATGACCAAGTTTCCACAACTTTCAACCCATAAATATTTTCTCTTACTGCAGTTAAAATCACGAAACTTATTTTGTGCATAACACGGTGTCACGGTGTAGCGGGCTTCCTCCTTCACTGTCATCTAGTGTATCGCTTGGAGGGGAACTTGGAGGAGTAGCATATGAAAGTGTCCTTAGCGGCATTGAGTGTGTTTCAAGTTTTGTTGACGTTACAATTAACACGTACACACAATTAACACGTAGGTGCGACGCTAACAGGTTGACCCGCACAAGTTTTAGGCCTAAGACCGAAAAGAAAGCCAAACTTCATATACTCTTCCTCCATAAATAGGCTGTCTTTACCAATTACAGTGACATTGAGTGATACCCCTGCGATTTGTTACTTCTTTTGACCTAGCCCAAATGTTGGGCTTGGGAAATCTCGAGATGGTGTCGTTTGGCCTTTTCCGGAGAATATTGAGTTTCCAGCATGAACAGAGTTTAGAGAGAACCAGGGTCAATGTTGTCTGAATCCAATTCTACTTTCTCAGGAACAGAAATGGTGAGAGGTCCCTAATTGGTAAGGGTATATGCTCTTCCACCTACATGAGATTTCCGTAATTTCATGTAGTCCGTAAATGTGACATCATATTCTGAAAAGATGCCCTTGTACTTGCATTTCACAAGCACAATGATGAAAAAGACTCAAGATAGTATCTCTGCTCCTTCAAAGCTCCTCTTGAATCCTCATGAGGACAACCTAGAAGCTATCCTTGGAATTGAAACAAGGATTTAGAGAGATATGGCTTCTCAGAATCTAACTACAGATCTGCAACAACTGGTCTCTTCTCTTAGACTGAGAAGTATAGTTCATTCACCCTGAGCTGAATTGACCAAGGAACATCATTGGACGATTTAGAAATAGGAACCCCAGTTCATACCAAGTCAGAGAGATCTGAATCTATCCATTTGTTGATTCACTATAAATTTAAATGTGGTTACTCGTATGTATCTTGAACTGCATATACATGCCTATGGGAGCAGTGCCTCTTCAGAATTGAGAGCAAAATGGGCAAAGTCCTCAAGCTACATGCTTCCATCAAGTGATCTTCAAAGAGCCACTACTAGTCTTCAATATGAGGAATTAGAGGGAACTTATATATTGCAGCTTCAACCTAACTGAGCTTGAATAAGATTCTTGGGAAGCTTTTTGATATCGGGAGTGGTGTGATGTTATCAAAGAGAAATTTGGACAGTGTCATAATAATGGCTAACGGATCTGGTGCTAGGTTCCCCAATGTCTCCTTGTGAAACTTTTCTCCATGGAAGACTTGAAACGAATTCTTTGACAGACAAGGCTTTCCATGCCAAGCTGGGAAAGGAAGCTCATCTGCCTCAATCTCATCTTAAAACTATTCTGAGTAAGTCTGCATTTCATTTATATATGTCGTAGGGTTTTGTGGAATTCAGGGGATTTCGAGTCTCCCTAGGGGGAGACAGGATTACACTAAACTCGCAGGTTTAGCGGAATCCTCTCAAAGTCGTGTCAATGTCACTACACCCTAGGGAGATTCCATATCTCCCTGGCTTGAAAATTACCCTTCCCACGGCTTGTCCCGCCGAGGGTAATTCTCCTATCTTTTGCATTTACAGATTATTTAAGGCTGAAGAATGCCGTGTCATAGTCTGTTCCCGACTAAAATTCTCGGATATATGATAGAATCCCTCTAACACTTTTATTGTGGGTAGCCATAAAAGTGATTAACTGAACTTGACATGTGAGTGACACCCTTATGGGAAATAATGCGCAGGGTTGTCAGATTCTGTTGGAATCCTCCCATGGCCGCAACAACATCGGCAGGACGCTCAAACGAAGAAAATCCATAAAAATCCATATCACACGTTGAGAACCCTATATATATATTTTTAACTCTTCCCATAATGGGCGAGGGCAAAACCCTAGAATTTATTGCCCAAAACCTCATACGTGAAGCTCATTAGCCGTCTTTATTATTTTCAATATCTGATACCTTTGGTCGGGAATAGACTATAACTACCAGTCAGAATGCCGCGCCTGATTCTGCCTGCCACTAACGAAGAAAGAGAAACTTGGAAGACAGAGGTTGTATTGACGAAGGGGAAGGCTTTGAGGGCAGAAACAAGCTACGCCAGTGAGGGTGCAGAATCCATCTGCAAGTGCAAGAAGTCTTGTCGCACAACAGGTGCAGTGTAAAAAAAACTAGGCAAAACATCAAGGACCAGTGATAGAAGAGGACTGGACACTCCTCTGGGAATCGCGTATCAGCAGTCATCCACCCTGTGCAGGCAGCGAACCTGATGGTCGCTGAGGAAAACTGCCTGTCTTCCATGGCAAAGCACGGCGGACGCTGGTGTTCTACAATTAATTGCTATAATTTCGACGGAAACTCGGGAGGGAAACACTTCTTCAGTTTTCCAGGACCGTAAAATAGGCAAATATTGAAGATTAAGTGATGTGGACCCATGTTTGCGTCTCAATGATTAGCTCCTTCACCTGAAAGACGTGCAAGGGCACTCTAAATCCATCTATATATAATGAAAATAAACTCTTACCCTTCATTATGAAAATTGTGAGAATAACTCATGAAAACGCATAATATTCTGAAACGGAAAATGAACGTTTCCTCGATGAGACACTGACACAAAATCAACCAAGTTGTGATAAGTTGGACAACTTCAAGTTTGCTTCTTACAACTAATCTTCATTCACGTATGCACAGAAAACCGTACGCCCGACACGCAAAGCACCTCGTACCAAACGCCCAGAGCTCTGTCAGCTGAGGCATGCTTCTAGGCCCCTTCCTCTTCCCCCTGTCTGATACTATTGAAGAATGAGTACTTTCTTCGGCAACAACAACATTGCTCTTTGGTTTCATAGTGTTCATCCTCTCGATAAGGTGCACACGGAAAAACTGATAGAGTAACGGTCGGAGACCGATGGAATGCACGTACTGCAATGGGGCAATGTGCTGTCTTCCTCAGCAGCCGCTTGGAGCGCTGCCTGCACATCGACATCCATGTTGATACGCGGAGTGCAAGCGTGCGTCATCCGAGTGTCCAGTCCTATTCTATTACTGGTACTTGATAACATGCTCATCATAGTGTCACTGGGGAAAGCCGTGCAACCTCCCAAAATCAGACAAGTTTATTGTTAATTGACTCAGTTTCGAATCTAATTGACGTTGATTCTTTTCTTTCTGTACACGGGCTGAAATGAAATTGCATTTCCCCCAGGTGTCGTGATAACTCTCTTTCTCCCTAGGGTTAAACAAAATGATGGAAGCATTGGCAGCTAATCCGGGTGATTTGGAAACCCCCTAGGGGGAGGTGGCATAATGGAGGTTTTCGAGATGATTCCGCTAAACCCGCGGGTTTAACGGAATAAAATGCTACTGTGGAAGGTTCGAGAAAGTTCCAGAAATTTCTTTTCTGGGAAAATTCTCGAAACGGGCAGAACTTTCCGATCGACCCAATACTATGGAAGTTCAGAGTACGGCGTAAAAGTACCGATATCAGCATATTGCACTAATGCACTTACTTAAAAATCTAGCTTCTATGTAATGTAGTTGATGTACATCTTCCAAGCATGTTTTCATACGCAATTACCTCTCACCTTTTTCATGTGGTGTAGTATTTGCTCGACGAGATGTTGGTCATCGTCTCGCGGCACTATTGGAATGCTGGCGCAGGCAAGGCGGACATTGCGACACGAGCGTTTCCTGAAAAAGTACTCATTTGCCCTGAGGAAACCTAGCATATCTATACATATCAATGGACATACATTAGCTAGTGTAAGTATTATTATGTGCCGTGAGCCTCCCGTATCAATCTATGGTGAAGCTCAGGTATTTCGTGCTAGGCCAAGAGACACGACGAATCCACGCTTATCACGAAGCTAACTACATTAGTCATGCAGCTATTCATACAGTGACTGGTGAGGTTACCGTAACGGAACCATTTCTATTCAAGAGAATATGTATGGAACTGAGGCGACCACAATAACATGTTCATGGGTGAGCGTCCCCATTGCACTGATCTTTTTTGGATATCTTATCTTACATGCCCGACCTTGTCTATAACAGTAGACATGTTTCTGTGGACACTGATGCAGCGTGTTTCATCAAGAGCCATTTTGGGATTGATTTACGACTTCTACAGGTACGACGTGATTTGCATAAGTGGGAAATAAGTATTTAGGGAGAAATCCCAAAAACGCAGTCCCTGCCTATGTTTGGCGTGAAGGATCTGCAGCACCTCCATCTAGTCATCGAAATTACCGAATGAAGGTTTAAAGTCTGAACTTACGAGCATAGGTCCATAACCTTCATCATTTCTTAATTTTCAGTCAGTGGCTCTAACCCTTGTCAGTATTATACGTTATTTGACTATTCGTCGAAAATGACATGATTTTTAAGGTTGATTCATAATTTCATAATTGGTCCCTGTGCATCCTTCCTCATCATAACAAAGTCAAAGGGACATTCCAAGCGCAGGGCGAGTGAGGGGCGCTCTCTTCATCGCTGCTCCTCATTCATATGCTTCCTTCGCCCGCATTCCATGTTTCGCAGCCACAATGAATTTTACAGTAGTGGGAAAGGGCAGGAATGAAAGTGAACGCAGAGTTAGTCGACTAAGAATATTGTTGGAATGTGCCCTAACTGTTTCTCAAGAGCATTTTCTTATCTGAAACATGTGAGAGCATATTAGTCAGTGCCTGGACAGGCCAACGCTCTCACACATACGTGATGCGTTCCTAGGAGTTCATTTCCTATCACGAAATGAACTCTATAATTTTATCATGCCTGCGAAAATGTACTGTACTGTGCATGTTCGCAGGCACAAGGACACCAGTTGCCCTGGTCCTTCTGAGAAGCCCCAATCAATCTTGTATGCAATCAATCTTAAGAGGTATAATCTAATATTGGCATCACAGGTCTAACGAGAAGTGAAAAAATTCCAATGCATGATAATGCCTGACAAATAAAATTTGGTGATGAATGCATATGATTCGTGTGGGTTCATGCTGATGATTGCATCATCAGTGAAGATGCAACCATATTTGGTTCAATCAAAAATACAATTTGATGACTGACTCCTGTTTAGTGAAGATTCATTGAAATCTGGCGATGAAGTGAAAATTTCTATGAACTGAAAATTTTTCATGACGAGATCATTATCAATGATGGGAAATCAAATATGCACTGCCAGCCAAATGTAGTAACACCTAGAGTGGACAAGGCTACAGCCATCAAACTTATCCCTTTTATTGGAGGCGTTGAAGTTTACAAATAATCAGTCATTCTCCGATATCTGGCATCCTGGTGGGGCGATACAATCATGTGAGGGCCATGTGATGTGGAATGGTATAATACCTCTGGAAGTGTTGTTTATCAGCTTGTGTGTGGGCCACACATATGACTAAAAATGGTACGGTCACGTGCATGTATCACGCCACTTGGATGCCAGGTATAGAGGAGTGATTAATCATTTGCATACCTTGATGCCTCCAAAAATGGCCCAAGTTTGAAACTGTTGAATCGCTCGTTCCAGGTTTTTTTCTATTTTATTTGCCAGCAGTGTATGCCGAAAAATTTTTTTCTTATAGAACTGCATTACGAAGGATTTTCGAATGGAAGTTGTTGCCAAAGTAATAGACAATTCATGCACCTGACCCCTTTGAATATTTCCGGACGATACCAGGCAATGATTAATGATTGGTGTAATACCTAATAATGATTCCTCATTTGTGCGTTGAATCCCGATTGAGACTGGTGTACAATCAATGCGCAATAAATCGGGGTAAATACATTGGAGAAGTATGGGTAGCTTATTTCATGGAAATTATACGAGGTGGGGTAGAGAAGATAGTGCACTTTATTTTGTATACTCAACGCTAGCATTAAAAGCTGCATTTGATATTTTAAGAGTATGGTAAGCCTGCGTGATATTCCTTAAATTTCACAGATTGGTAAACCTTGTCAGAGTGGAAACAAAACGTAAGAGGGTTGAGGACCCTGTGAGAGAGCAGCAGATTGTGAAGAAATTCCTTGTGACTGAAGGTGAAATATGGCGGCCTCTCAGGGTCGGACTGGCCCACAGGGATTCCAGAAAATTTTTCAATAGGGTCTCTTCAGACCAAAGGACCTCTGCACCTGCGGAGGGGGTCCCTTAGTTTGCATTTTGGAAAGGGAGAGGCGTGCGGGGGCCCCTTGTCAGCAATTTCCTAGGGGTCCGCAGGGTCACCAGTCCGACCCTACCGAATCCGACCACAAATGGCTGCAAAATTTTTATGAGGGCTAATTTAATGCTCCAATCGATGGGCTAAAATGCGACGGTCTGCCCGAATGAGCTCGTCCAGACTTTGAATGTTGACTCCAGCGACAGATGTGGTGAGGTGACCTATGCGAGGGTCACTTTCAATTGATGTTGGTCCAGATTTAAAATGTTCCACCAAAAAGAATACGGTTCGTACTTCCAAGCATTGGTCTTTATGAACATTTTGCAGTCGTTTGTGGGTGGACGCGGCCTTTTCACTCTCAATCACAAGGAATCACAGCAGAACAGCAAAACTATAATAATGCTGTTGGTCTGGATCATATCAGGTTAACTGACAGAAACCTGTCACGTTCGATTAATGAGGATATGAAGGAGCAACACATGCCTCCAGAAGCATCCTCGGGCAGACACATGTAGGTCAATAGTTAGCGGGAAAACTCCCTCCTCTCCATCCCATAGAGCAGCGGACTTTCTTGTAATCCGCCCTTCGAGGAGTGACCAAGCACACTTTATTAGAGGGAACTGGCCCCAATAGGAAGGATAATGATGTTTTGCCCTGCTGTTCAGCAGGGTGCCATGGTACGTCAGGATGATGACCAATCAAGTCCATGAAGATTGGTTTTGGGGAGGCATACGCGTGGTGAAAATGCAAAGCACGTTGGGAATTTTATATTTTAATGCCTTTGGTTCTCTACACGGCGGGACAGTGGAAAGACTCTGACACAGGTCATGAACGAAATTCCATGGGCGACTACAAGTAGAACCTCCCTGACTCTGGGAGCGATAGCAACATCATGCGAGGGATTGCGACATCCCTCAAGCGATTACGCGAGTACTCAAACCAACTTAAATTTTCCCGATAGATCCACTATCTCAGCGGAGGGCAGTGCCAAGGCGGAATTGTGAGTTTTGTGGTTTGCTGGGAGTCGGGGCACGCACTTGTGCGAGAACATACTGATGCCGATTGCGTTATCCTATGGGCAACAAGTAAACTCATCGAAAAGCTGCCGGTGTTGAATTATGCATATCAGTCGAGCCTGGAACTAAATCACGTTCAATACTGATGCAACTGACTTACTTCCATCAGGGACCGATATACTGTTGCTTCCATTCATTTGTCCCGAGCGGAAGCCTACTGACCCCTTGAATTTGGAACAGTGTTCAAAATGCTACTGGTGTACTTTAAATGCTCTTCCATGCACTATCGATCGACAGAATTCTCTATATTTATGGTTTCATGCAGGTCTTCGGAGCTGCCTATGTTCTCCAAGTGTTGCAATACTG